TTCAGAAATACTTTTATGCAGAAGAAACATGAAACAGAAGCTCTGTAAAGTAAATGGTTTGCTTCAGAAACTCCAACTTCAGAATTCACACTTAAGACTTCTGATCCTTGAATTTTTCCATGTCACAATTAATTGAGTAGGATGCTTGTGCATTAGTGGTTATTTTTGATCAGGCATAGTGAAAAATTATGCCTATGTGTTTCCAAGTACTATGTTAAGGTCTGATTTATAATAAACAATGAGGAAAGGGGGCTCAGATACTTTGTCTTGAATAAAAATGGTACAGTTGTTTATTCAAGAGGTCAAAAGGGGGAAAACCAACTTGTCACTGTACTCCACTTTTTTCTAAAAGCTGGAGGAACTTACAAAATTGGTTTCATATTACTATGATTTTTACTCAAATGTCCATGTTGTGAGGTTGTCTTCAAAGAGTGCTGTATTTTGTTTTCCTATTTCATAAAACTGGAAATAGTAAAAAAAAAAAAAAAAGAAAAGAAAGCAAGAAAGAGAAGCATTGAAAGTCATAATTCTGCAAAGATTTTCTTTGTGCTTAACAAGGCAGTATTAAATGAGCAAACATTATAAAATTATACTAAGTAAACATGCAAAACTATTTTTAAAAGTCATATATACATTGAAATGTGTTTCTCTAAAGAGAGAAATTAAACATTGCTTTTTTAAATGCATTATACATACAACAAAGTCTTATAAAAAGCAGCTTTATAAAATCTTCTAGAAACATTTTACCGAATCACTTCAAAGGTAAATGCTAGTAATCTTCAGGGAAGATGGTAGAACTGATTTCTGGGTCTTCATCATCATCGTCATTTTCAACTTTTTCATCATTTTCTTCAGGAATGTATTTGCCATGTATTTTTTTCTGATTTTTTTTTCTTGTGAGTGTAAGATGACTTATTTTTCTCTTTGACCTTGGGATGTGAATCAGTAATTGTTCTTTTTCCAAAGCATGTTGGAGGCAGTTGTAAAACCTTTCAATTCTTTTCTCGTTTTCTTTCATTTTTTTGATTGGTTATCTTTCATAGGAAGTCAATATATTCTTCTGTCACCATCAGATCGCCCTTATGGCTTAATGGAACCTCTAGGCCATATGTACTCCGGACAACCAACATAGTTTTTCCTCTTTTTCCCACTGTGATACCAGAGTTCCTGAAACCAGAGTTAATTGCCACTGTCTGCAGAATCTGTGCACCCTTCAACTGCATACACTGCACATGAAGAACCAATGGTTCAAATTTTAAAATGTCATCATCATTCGCTTTCTTCAGAACTACCATGACATCATCTTTTACACAAGATTTGTGCGTAACCAGTAGTCAGCAACGGTTTTGTTTCTTAACCTTAGGAACAGTACGTGGCTGGCGCAGGAGCTGGTGGTGACAAACTGATCCCGCGAGTTGAGGAGCTGCGTGAGCTCCACCACGTCTTTGTCCACGCTGCCTTTGCGGCTGAGGTCCTCTCGGCTCAGACGCTGGGCCTTCCTCTGCCCGAACTTGGCACCGGGGTCCATAGGTGTCGGGTCCGGCCCCCGCGGCCCGCTTGGCGATCATCTTTTTACCTAACACGTTCTCCTCTACTTGAGCTCTCCAAGGTAAGCTATGCTATGCTATACTATCATCCAAACCTCCTAAAATAAGTCCAGGAAGTAAGTCTGGACTTACTGGGGGTTCTTTCTAAGTTCAAAGCTTAGAACCAAATGCTGGGTAGTCTACTCCTTAACACACACTCAGAGTTAAGCCTCAGAGATTACCACCAGCCACCATTCTCAGAGTTCTCATCACATCCAGAGGAAATGGAGTCTTAGCATAGGGTGATGTTTTTCTGCAATACCAAGGACAAAAGTAGCAAAAAGGAAAAAAGAACATTCAGAAAGGAAAGGTTTCTGAATCTGGTATCCTTCCCACTGCATCTATGTGAATAAAGTGAAAACAAGGGTCCATACCTTTAAGTACTTTCTCTGAAAAGAAGCATTGAAAGAATAACTAAACACTGACCTAGAACTTGGAACTTTCTATTCTTGATTCCAATTGTTCAGTTATTAATTTTTATAAGCCACAATAAACTTGTTTTTATAAAATAGCAAGTGTTTTGGGGAACTTCAAGAGAGCACGGTAAGGAGGTTTATCTCTAACCCACCATCCATACCCCCCTCTCAGAACACTGGAAGACTGGAAATCTCTTGACAAGTGGCACCCTCTGAAGCTACACTCACTTTTGTGAGAGCTGTTGTTGACTTGGGCCAGGACCTCAGCTGAAGATGTTGCCAAAATATCTATTTGTTGTTGATTTTTCTTCATGCAGTTTTTATTCTTTATATCATGGTGCTGGGTTCTAATAATAGCTGTCCCAGGGCTGAGATCTTTCCACCTTCTGCATACTGGTCATGGAAGTCAACATCCCTTTCTCTGCACTCAGTTGACCAGACAATTGCCAAAGCCCTACCAGCCTCAAGGGAAGAAGATGAAGTCATCTGACATTGTAAGACAATGTGAAATGGTAGATATTACGATCTGCCACTCACTCATCACTTGAGAATAATATTGTGTTTGTGGGATGGAAGGGGCATTGGGAATAGATGCCAGCAAAAGTAAGAGAAAGGAGGAGATGCGAGTTTCTCCTAGAGGCTGACTCTGGGACATGTATCTGAAACTATGTCAGGGTTACATCTCTAGATTGGAATTGGGAGCCTCAACAAGAACAAATTATTGAGCTGTTATTGTTATTAATGTTAATCTTGGGCTATTCACCAAGATTGCCACTCAGTTATACTAGAAAGACACAGAAGAGCTGAACATTTAGACAGATAAACTATTTTTGGTATAGAACTTTGGGACACATTTAGTCTACCCATCCCATGGGGCAAACTTTGAGGATATTGAAAAGGATGAAGTTCCTAATAACAAACTATTTGTTTCACAATTTGACCTTTAGTCAGATTAGGAAGGAAATTTAATCTCTATAGAAAGCTTTTTTCTAAGAGTTGCTTCTTTTTGCAAAGTCATATGCAGATATAAGTCAGGATAAGCAATGGGCATGTTCTCCAAGCTTTTATGCTTGAGATTGGGGATAGGTGTGGGACCAGGTAGTTAGATGTTGTCAACCCATCTAAGGGAAACACTATTAACATGTAGATCGAACGAACTTTATTTTTGCTAATATCAGGGCTTGAATTTAATGATTCATGCTTTTGTTCAGTTCTCTTGCTGACAGCTGGCAATCTACCACTTGAGCCATGAGTCTAGTATGAACTTTTTGCTGTTTAATTGGAGATAGAGATTTGCAGACTTTTCTTCCCTGAACTGGCTTTGAATAGTGATACTTCAAGTTTCAGTTTCTAAGAAAATATATAATTGATTTGGAATCAAGAGGGGCACCTCCCAAAAGAACAATTGAAAATGTAGCTCATAAACCATAATGGCTTTGGGACGTTGAGTCTCAAGGACTAGCAACAGTCTTATCAATATCATTGCAATCACGATTAATGAACTCTGACCTTTTACAGTTTTTGGAACACTGAGCCCAAGAATCAAATTTCTTTTCTTCTTTTCATTTTATTTTTTTGCAGATCTGAATTTTTGCCAATATGTATTCATGACAATCCCTGGCAATAGGTTGTTGGGCAGTAAGGAATGCAGAGGTAGTTCCCCGAGTGGTCATAGAATTCTCCTCCTAGAAGTTCCTTCCCCAGCATCCCACTGATAAGGGGGCATCTGGGTACCTCCTATAGATTACCACAGAGCACCCTCAGTGGAGTACAAGAGAGTCTCTCTTACTTATTCATTTCTACCATGACTGAAGTGAGTTTTTTGGCTTTCTAGGTGGGAAGCTAGGACTGGACTCCAGGACCAGCAGTCCCCAGGGACAAGATAGCACAGTGCTCCTGGCTGCCCACACTGCAAGTGGTATGTGCTGCAGTAAAGAGTGCTAGAGCGATTTCTCATGTTGACAGCTAGCCTCAGAACTATATTACATAGATAGGGAAGGTGGACAAGCAGAAGTCAGAGGAACAGACTTGCCAGGCAAGGCCTTCTGAGGGGAGTTGGAGAAGGCAGCATTTCTGCATGTTGGATTTTTTCTGTTGTCACAAGAGGACATCAGTGCATATTTCCCCACACAGACCAGTTCACTGGTGCTCTCTTCATGCTCTGTGATTACGGTTTCAATTTTTTTTTTTTTTTACCACTTGAGAACTTGGTAACTTACTCTAGTTTTCAGTGCTTGAAGAGCCATTATCTGTTTTCTTGGAATCTGAGGTCATATTTTAGCTTATCTGAAGGCTTTGAGAGTGGCTTTACTTCTGTACTAGAAGCCAAGGGTGAACCCCAGCTTCCTATGGCCAGACTCAAAGCCCAGAAAGAGTAGGTTATGAGGTAAGGTCTCCCACCTGACCCTGGGGCCCTGCCTTTACCCAGGCAGCACTGCTTTCTCCTAGACATGCTATCTTTCTCTACATGCTAGCCCAGCTTCCTGACTTGTTATTTCCTACTGCAGCTCTTCATTCACATCACTCCTGATGCCCCCACCACCACTGGAGGGCAACTGCTTCTCTGTCCCCCTTGCAGTGGGGCTGCCTTCTGCACACTTCTGGCTCTGTGTCCCAGTGGGACTTGCTGGCTAGTTAAGATTGCAAGGAACATGAAGGCATCTCTCCCGGTGCTGTGCAGGTCAAGGACTCAGTCAAAGCAACTACACTGGGCCAGTTGCACTCCTTTACTGACACAGTATGACTTTCCCTGAAGGAGAGTCTCTGAAAGGAGGTGGGCCATTTCCCCAACCCATTCCTTACCCTGTGTCCCCGTCTTTTCTGGAGTCTTCAGGTCCTTCCTTGCTGCTTCTAGTCACAGCTACTGCTTCACAGACAAGGGTGGCAAAGGGCTGCCAGGCAGCCATACTGGAAGCCAGAGGAAGATCTCAGTGGATACAGATTGCGTCCTGTCTCTCCGGCCTTCAGCTCAGACATTTAGTTCTCTCCCCTTCTGGATTTAGTGGTGTTTATTTCTTTTCTTGGTGCTTTTAAACCCTTGAGATGCACCCTGGCCAAAACATATGGTAGAGGGTAATGGGTTTGGAGCTGAGTTCCATGGTGTTGTCCAAACAGATTCCATAGGGTCCACAGTGTGGAGGCCTCCTACAGGCCTACACTGGCTCTAGGCAAGGTGAGGCCTCTGCTTGTCTTGGGCTTGTCAAATTGGAAATCCACAGGGTACAGGTGGAGCCTCACCATGTGATCCTTCTGGTCTTGGCTGGTCTGGAACTTTTCCGGCAGCTTTCAACCAAGCAATGGTACATATCCTGTTTCTCTGCCAGGATCTGGAAGTGAGTCGAGACACCCTAGGATGTGGGCCTCCAGCAAGTGCCTGGAAGGGAAGGCCCGGTTTCAGAGGGAGCAGACATTTCTGTGCAGCATGTGGTAATGATACTGGTAGTCCTAGAGGGCTGCAAATACCTGGTAGCAGCCCTCCACTTGACTGGTGAACTCAGGCGCCCTGGACTTCTCTGGCAGCGCTGCCACCTGTGTGAGGTGTCACACAGCTAGAGGTCACACAGCTCATCCCCATCCTCAAAGAATTCGTGGTTCCGCGGGAAGCACACTGGGTGCACAGGGAAGCGGAAGGGCGCCTGAGGGGTCCTCTCCCCACGCAGCAGTTCGGAAGTGCCCTGGCCAGGTGGGCGCTCAGTGCCAGGGGCAGCGGGATTGCCCTGAACACCAGCACTGTGGCCCATCGGCCTCAAATTTCTTAAAAAGACTAAATAAACAAGCAACTTGGGAAATAGCCCTGTAGTTTTAGTCAACATAATGACATTTGACTGGTAATTTTATAGGATGCTATAAATAGGCAAAGGACTGGATTACATTGTATAGCCAAGTTCCTCAAAGTGGGGGGGAGGGGTCAAATTGTGGCAGATGGCACCTATCTTGGAACTTCATAAAAATTCAAGGTCTTAAGTTCTATATTATAAATATCCAGTTGTAATCTATATATCAACATGTGAGAAGTACTAGCCTAGATCTGCATTTATCAGTCTGAGTAGAGCTTATAGATATATGGTTACTTAGATCAACTTCTGACCTACCAAGCCAAAGGTTTTAGTGGTGGTCTGATGCCCTAATAGTTTTTACAAAACTTTCAAGTCATTCTTGAGAAGGAAGTCAAGACTCAGGGAGACAGAAGTATGTAATTATTTGCACCTAGCTACTTCTGTGTAAATCAGTCAAAGTGTCTAAATTTTTCTGTTTTACATCCTTTCAAACTGCACCTCTGATAATCTCCTGAGCATAAATGGATCAGCTTGCCAGGTAATTTCCTAGAGATCAGTAGAAGAGAGTATTGCTTTAGCTACAGGATTTGATTAGTCAAGCCCATTGAGATCTGTGCTAAGCTGGGTGCTCAGGAGCCTTGTTTGTTGAACAGAATGGATATGTTAATGGATTTTGTGTTTTAATAGCTGTTGCTTTCTAACTTTGGAGATTTACAATATTGGAGCTAGAGATAACCATCTTTCCATTTAGACAGAGGATGTAGCCATTTAGCCAATAACAAGAGCTATAAAACTAAGTAACAACCATGAATACCCACATTGTGAGATGCACAAATTTGAGTTTACTGAAGGATTGACTCCCACCCTGTTCTCCCAGGTGCATACAGATACCAGGCAACCCACCAAAGCTAAATGTAGACTTCCTGACTCTAGCAAGGCAATCTATCTAAGGTTGGCTGTAAACATTCCATCTTGGGCCCAGCGGAAAGGCCCCTCACCTACCTAGACCGAGTAGCTTTGTTATTAACCTCTGCCTCCTTGCCCAGACCTCATAAAAGCCAGCTCCTGTCCCAGCTCTACAATAGTCTCCAAGCCCGTGGGAGGCTATGTCCCTCGCTGCTCTATATCAATAAACAGTCCTCACCTGTGGAAGATGGAGTCCAGACTGTTTCGTTCTTTTCTCCTCCATTTCCCCAACATTTACAGTGTATACATTGGCTATAAAATTAGTCATTTTTCTTGTATGATACATAAGCTACCATTCATGAAGTTGTCCATGGAATACCATATAAGAAAACTGCTAAAAATATATAATTTTGTTACTTAGTTCTGAGCAAATCTCAAGAAATGAGATTCTAACTTGATAAGGGAAGAAAGCAAAGGAGAAGAACAGAGGAAGGAAACATGGAGGCTGCCGGTTAACCAGGAGTGTCCTAGACATATATGTGAGAAAAGACTTTTATCATCCCACTAAATGACAGCATGTGCTAAATTAGCCCACAGTGAAGCTGGGAACCTTGGTATAGATGCCAAATCAAATTCTATGCTAAATAATAATGATGTTTTTTCCTTAGCTGTCATTCAAAGCTATTTGTATGTAAGAGGAAGCAGACATACTTAATTTTGAAAGTTTTCAGTCACTTATCATCATGTAGTATGAATTATTCTGAGTTGACAATGATTGGAAATGGAACACTGTATGTAATTGTGCATTCAGCCTAGCTTTAAACCTAGTAGATAAGTTTTAAAATTATATTTTTTAGTATCTTTAAGTAATTGTATAAAGGAGTTGCCATTCAACAGACCAGTTTATAGGTACATGATTTTTTATCAAAGCCACTCATTTCATCATACCCTCCCAATGAAATCCCTCCCCTCAATTTTCTTAGTTTCATAGAATATACATACAATATTAAGAGTCTATTCTCTGCCTCCACTCCTTGTTTTATTCATCTATTTTCCTCTCATTGACCTTCCCCTATACACCTTTGTGGTCAGGTATGAGCAATTGGTTTTAGGTTTCTGTTGATGGATACCTACAGTGTTTCTGCATCTTGACTATTGTGAACAAAATTGCAATGAATTAGAGAATGTAGGCCTTCAAGATGCTGATTTCATTTCCCTTGAATATATACTCAGAAGTAGGATTGCTGCATTAGCATGGATTTGTTTGCAACTTTTTGAGGAACCTCTGTACTGTTTTACTTAATGTTTGTAAACTTTTACATTCCTATTAACAGTATATAGCAATCCACTTATCTACACCTTCACCGATACTTGCTATCTCTAGTAACGATTTCACATTGCATGTGTTTATCAAAACAACATGTGCCAGGTTTGGTGTTACAAACCTGTTATTACAGTCTCTTAAGAGACAGAGAAAGAAGGATCACTGTTGAAGGGCAGCCCAAGCAAAGAGTTACTAAAACCTATTTCAAAAATTGTAGGAAACTGCTGGCTCATAATCCTTGCTAATCAGGAGGCTGGAATCTTAAGATCCTAGTTTGAAGCTAGCTCAGGCAGAAAAGGCCTTAAGACTCTTATTTGTAATTAACCAGCAAAAAGTTGGAAATAGAAGTATGGCTTACATGATGGAACACCATCTTTGAGCAGAAGAGCCAAGTGAGAGTGCAAGACCTTTCTCCTTATCTCTCTTTTTTCTGTTTGTTTACTCCCTGGCTTTGAATTCACTATTACACCTTCCTGCTTCAGCCTCCCACGTTCTGGGACTACAGATGTGCTAGGATTAAGGGTATGCTGGAATTACCGGTATGTGTCATTCCATTATAAAAGGTGACCTATTTTTCTTTGCTGCCATCATATGAATCTAAGGCACAGTCTTTTCTCACCTAGATGTGACAGTAGTTTATATCAATCATTCATGCTGTTCACATTCCTGCTTTTCTCCTCTCATTATATACGTACCCCCACTCATACTACATATACTATAGTCATCCATATTAATATATTATTCATATATATGTGAGTATATATATATATATATATATATATTCCACACACCCTGCCTTACACATACCACATCAAATTCACACACACATAACACCCTGAACACTCACTTACATACTCTTAGGAACTTGTGTAACATAATACTGCTTCTGTTTATGATGTATAAACAGATCCTGTGACATTTTGTATATACTTTAAAATTCTCCCATTGTAGAAGTTCCTGAGGGCCACAGCCTCTGCTATGCTCGCAGAACTCTCTTCACTCTTTCCAGTGCAGTTACCCACCACTGGAATCCCTTTAGATGCCTGAATGTCTTCTGACCCAGCCAACTTCTGGTTCCACAGGAGCCTCCAAACTAGCAGTTTTGCACCTGTTACCTCCTCTTTCCGCAGAGGAACTCTGTGTGACCCACCAAAATCACCTCCTGCAAGTTTACAATCAGACATTTGTTCATCTATTTGTATATTGTGTCCTCTACTAAAGTTGTCTTCTGATAAGAAAAAAAAATAGTTCACTTGTCACTAAAATACCAAAGTACTCACCTACATATGACTGACTAAATTCAGAAGATTTGATTCCTAATGCTATTATGGCCTCTGTGTGACTTTGGACAAATCACTGTACCACTCTGACTATTTTTATAACTCCTAATTCTGTAAAAAGAAAAGTACTCCACTTCTTGGGATTTTCTAGATTGACCCATTACATATGTAACCAGAGGTTGCAGTTTATACTTACTTATTTCTCCTCCCTTGGCTTAAAACTTTGAAAGCTTTTAAATGTACTTGATAGGTACACTTCACAATATAAGGCCGTAATGTTTGGATTTAAAAATAGCTTGCAACTTCATAAGATCCTTATCCACAAGTTGGAGAACTCTTGTGGCATACAATTTTAATTAGATGACCTGTATCTTTATTTCACTTTGGGGACCAAAGATCACTTAATCTTGGTTCTCTGGAGATGTATCATGTGACATGGAGAAGCTGAATGGGAAAGAAATTAAGGCTAAACCCACTTGCTTGGATCCATTGACTCTCAAGACAGCAGTTTGTAGTATGCAGCATGCAGCATGCATGTGAACCAAGGAAGCAGCCAACTCTGTCAGGACTCTTGCTGTGGAATTTGAGTGACTGACCAAATTGTGATCTGAAGAACAGAACATTCTGATGCTGTCTATAGAACAGATTGATTTTTCTCCATCACTGAAAGAATTAAAAACCAGAAAAGTATTTCAAGTAAACAGAGTAAGTTTATTTAAAAGTGAAAGGAAAGCCATGAAAGAAAGCAGAGAGAGGGCCCAAAGAGGAGTTCAATGGCAGATGCTTCTATCATATGAGATTTCTGCCATATCTCCTCCACTAGGCTTCATGAGGATTTCTTGATGGCTTCTGCATGCACTACCCCAGCTCTTTCATTTGTTGAGTGGGCACCCAAGGCATTATGGGAAGAAGTATTTGAGAACAAGCACACAGCATTATGGGAAGCAAAGCATAGGGCCCCTACACAAATGCTTTGCAAGAAATGCCAAGATGAGATATGTGTTGTCTGCCACTGGTTATATCTGCCACTTTTTATCCCTATGCACCCTTTCTCTCTCTCAAATATGACCTGGAGCAATCAGAAGACCAAACATAAATGGGATCTCCTTAAATTTGATCAACACAGAAGACATACAAGGTCAAAACAATTGCATTGTGATATTCTATCAGTCATGAAGAAAAGTAATCTGATAACAGCCTGTGTATTTCCCTGGTTCTCAAATGAGCATAAAGTGACAAAGATGAAGTAGTATATTAGAGAAGTGGTGGAGTCATGACTATGTGGTTTCTTTACCTGACATCAGCTGAGACACTATACTGCCTATAATAATAAGCAACATACTGCAATGCACTCTCTATTATATCCCTTTGTACATCATCAGCTATTATTTCACAAAGAAATAAATCAGTCAGCATGGAGCATGCCCAATGATCTTGACGAAGCTGCCCAGTTA